CAGAACAGAAAATCACCTTCAAGATGGGTAATTCTCATGAAAGTGTCCTTATTTTTAAACACCCCATGTCTGGAACTACATGATTATACAGGACTCTGAACCAGATTTTTGTTTTTAAAGTAAGGACTTGATTCCAGGCTTTCTTGTCATATGGCAAAAAATGGAAAACATGAACTTGAAAGGCTGAAAAAGCAGAATGAAAATAAAAAGCATTTTAAATGTATAAAGACAAAAACCAAGCCTCATAAACAAATGGGTCTGGCAATATTGCTTCACCTAAATGCTTTTTTCTTCTACTTAGTAGGAGATGTTTCTCAAGACTTAAAATAAGTGTTGTTTTGTATCTGCAGGGCTTTCAGCAAGCGGCTGCCATGTTACGAAACTCTCTGGATTCCAGCAATGCACATCTCTGCTGTCTGCTGCACTCAGAGTATCTGGGAAGAGGAGGAGGAAAACAAGCTTATCATTTATAAAATTATTGCTGGTTTTGTGGTTGTGAGGCTTTCTGCAGAGTACAAGAATAACTTGTTTGTGACATCAGGAAAATAAGGATATGCAACCTAGAGTACACTGTCCTCTCCGTGGATAACGCTTTCACAGTTTGTCAAATAACGTTGGGTTTTATCTGAAGGTCAAGTCCCACAGCTTTAGGAAGCCGCATGCCATGGGGACACAACTTGAGAGCTGGGCATCACTATGCCGAGCGCAAGGACGGTCTTGTTCTGACTTCTCCAGCCACATGGGGTGGCACCAAGACAATGCATTGACTCAGCACGGTCCTACTGCAAGTACATGGTGCTTTTCACAGACTGAAGGTTTTTGGCAAAGTATTTCAGTTTTCCAGCTATTTCTGGCAACTGGAAAGGCCTGTGACAGAAATGAGTGTATGTTCGAGCACATGCCGACCCACGAGGCAGAAAATGGCAAAAAATGGGGTATAACTAACACTTTCTTTAGCAGAAAAAAGATTGGGTCCCTCATTTGCAATTGGAAAAGTCACATCTTCTCTTGTTGTTCCTCTTCCAGCAAAACAGGAGGAATTGGGTCCTCTATGCCATGCTTTCCTCTCCTCTCAACTATGCCTAACATCACTGGTGAATTGATGCCAGCCTTACTCAAAGCTAAACCCATTCCTGTTTTTAAGGAGCTCGGGAAAGTACCATATCAAGCTGCAGACAATGCCCATGCCTCTCTCCTCTCTCATCCAGTCCTTCCAGTCCTGATGGTGGCAACTGTGCTTTTTCCCAAAGGAAAGAGGTGTCCTAAAAGCAGGCTTACTAGAGACTGTCAAAAACAATCTCCACAATCACGCCTGTCCCAGTGCTATCAGCTTTCTAGAAAGGCTGCCAAGCTGGCATTTGCCTAGCTAAGAAAATGGATTTAGCACACGATGCCAGATTCCGCTTCTCAGTCGCTAAAATGCTCAAGTAACAAACTGAGTTGACCATTGTTTCTTATCACCAAGCAAACAAACCCCGTTGGCAGGAAAACTGCATTTGGAAAGTGATTCCCTACATGACTGAGATGTGCTCTGGTTGCTGTAAATGCCAATCCTCACATAATGCTGGACTCCAGGTGGTCATTGACACTGTGAAGGGCACTGTCGCCTGCAATTTGATTTCAATGTCTTGCTTTCAGTTCATCTTCTGTTGCTCTGCAGGCCGTATTCGTTACCACAGAATTAACTGTTGGTTTCACAGTGCAAGATTTTCAGTTATAACTGGCTTTTACGTTCATTTTTAGCCAGAGCTAAGATGCTGCATCAGCTTGTAAAAACAAACAAACAACCAACTACCAAATTACTGATCTGCAAACCACACGTACTGTTTAAAATGCCTTGGTCTACAGACATCCACAGTCTTCATAAATCAGTCCCTAGTCCTCTCCCTTCCAATCAGTATGAAATACTAATTGGCACACAGACGAGCACACCAGACAAAAGAGCTTTTCCCATCGAAATCAGTGGGAACACTTCTGTGCACTTCAAAGGGTAGAGAAGGATGTCCCAAAGCAAGCACATCCACTTTATATCCTCATCAACGCCAGTCTTCTGACCTGAGAGTGGAGTATGTGAATCACAACAGAAACGGGCCAAACTTCTGTGCTGCCCCAGACCAAAGCAGGAGTGTTATCTTTGGCCGGCTCCACAAAAGACAGGAAGCAGGAGACCCGTTCTCAACCCTCTGCAGGTTCTCTGCTGGCCTCCAACCCAACAAGGGGGTGAGACTTCGAGCGAGGTGGAAGTGGGCTACCTGAGGGACCGTTGGTTTCCTACTCTAGGTTGCCTTAGAGGAAAAAGGAAACCATTCTGGAACAATGCAGACAATGCTTTAAATAACTATCAGAGAGGTGCCGCTTACTGGAAGTTAAAAGTTTTATCGCAGGTCTCCCAGCAAACCCAGGACCCCACTGCCGACAGCCGACGGCGCAGAGCTAGCAGAGGGAACCATGCGGCCAGCTGCATGGAGGCAGAATGGAAGAGAACGATTAGCAAAAACCATTTTCTCCCACATTTTACTGATCCCCAGCCAGTCCCTGTGCGGGCGTAGGAACCAACCGCTCCGTCTAAGAACAATTAAAGGCTCCGGCGCCGCTCGCTGAGCGGGATTACGAGCTGTACCTGTCAATGCCCGAGCAAAGGCCGAGGCAGACGAGGTGTGCAGGGCATGCAGGCAAACTTATTAGCAAAATCTAAAATTACACCACCTGCCGGAACGGGGGCGGCGCCGGGATACGGCACAGACACCGACACCGACGCTGACGGGGGAACCCCCTCCCCGCGGACCCCGGCTCCCACCGGGGCTTCGGGGCGGGGGTGGGGGGTGGGTGGGAAACTGCCGAGGATCATCCAAAGCGCCAACCTGT